AGTATGAGTTCAAACAGGACACTGGGAAACAGAATGAAATTTTGTCCTTATTACCAATTAACATGTTGAAATAATTATTATTTACTTTAACAAGGCACACTAAGATACAGAACAAGTAACCAGACAGCTTTGCTGGTTTCCCAGCAACTTGAGGGATCTGCAAGGAAGATGCTCAGGCACTACTAGTTCCAGAAATCCATGGAAGACAAGAACCCGGCAGACCCTTAACACACAGTACCCAAACTTGTGTCTTATCTTTGTAACTTATTTACTGTCCCAACGCTGACCTACTGTCACATGGTTCTTCCAGTGTTCAGACCAACATGGCCTGAGGTTCCTTCAGCTTTGATCATCTGACACATGCAGTGAGAAGAATGCTTGGTTATAAGCTCATGAGTTGCATGCAGCCACCTGGTTAGATGCTGTCATCAAAACCTTGATCAGCCTTTGGAACAAAGCAAGCAAAATTAATGTATGATCCAGGAGAAAAAAGTACACAGCTGCACTGAGAGTGAGCTTGAAAACTGCTACTGCTGATTAGCAGAAGCAAACAGATGACAGCAGAGAAAAAGAATATCCAGGGCTATGCCTAAATATCCCAAGCCTGGCATCGATTCATTGAGTTCCTTTTTATTGACAAGAATGACTATATGCTTAGCGTGCAATTCTTGTGACAGTCCAGGGCTCTTCACATACACATGAAGAACTGGAATTTAAACATATACCACAACATGATCTTCTTCCAAACTGTGTTCTGTATTAAAAAACGCACTGCTCGCTAAAGCGTATTATTAGCCCATGTGGACTTGGAGACACGGACATTTGACTGTGCTGTAGTCATCTCTGCTCCAGCACAAGGAGACATTCTCTTGCCCTTGCTTTTTCACCAGTTCATTTGCAGCCAAATATCCACATTTATCCTCATGTACATTACAAAGCAGATGGATGCCAATCATGAGTCAAGTTACAACTCAAAACAAGTTCAAAAGCAATACAATATTGACAGTATCACTTCACCAAGTTGTAATGTTACCTCTCAGGTTTGTATAAAGTATCTTCATCTCCAACAAACCTGACAGCAAGGAAAGTCCCAGAAACACCAGCCATGGAGACAACATTGACAGTTTGCCAGGAAGAAATTCAACACCCAGTTAAAGGCTAAGTTTTTACAACTATTATCTACATAAGCCTCTACAAAGCAGGCACCCTTTTCTGTTAACTTTTGAGCTTTACACCAAAGGCCACGCCTGGGATGTTTGTGTTTGTCATCTACATATTCTGAAAATTCCAGCTATCTAAACCAGAGTTACTGTCAGGTCACCTTCAGTTCAACCATATTCAAAAGCAGTAGTGTCTTTTCTATTTCCATGACTACAGAGCAAAAAAATGTGTTTGCCAACCCCAAACCAACCACATACAGCTCCAGTAATTTAATCTGACAGTTTCCACTGTACGATGGCAATATCCTCTTGGACTTACCAAAAAATGTCACAGACAGGAACACTTCCTCATTTAAAAGATACCTTGCTGCTCATCAACTCCTACTTCTATCATCTTTTGGCAGAAACACAGCAGAGAGGATATCTATATTCAAACAACCTTAAAACAGGGATGTAGGCTATTAACAATAAAAGCAACTTCCTTCCAGAGATCTGAAGAATTTCCATCAGAGTTTCCCAGGCAATTAAGTACACAGCAATGCACTGGGATACTACAAGCTGTGTCATACGTACCTATTGGCTCTTCTCTCAACAGAGGATACAGTACAAATGCAAACTATCTTCACAACAGGAATGTGAAGCTTGGTGACACCTAGCACTTGCAGTTAATCACACTAAGAAGCAAAAAGACCAACTCAGACTTCAGTGGCCACAAGTACTTCTGCGTGTCCAGACATAGCAAAGTGAATACAATCCACTAGCGTAAGACCCATTACAGTGTCTTCAGTGAATCTATTTCTACAGCATTTTTTGGTAATATATCAGATCAGTACAAACAAGTCTACCTAAACAGAAATAGTGTTCAAGGTATCAGAGCAGCACAATAACCACAACTATATGAAACACTATTTTTTCGCCCTCCTTTAAAGCAGCAATTATGAATACTCCATGCATAGAAAACACTGATCACTATGAAGCATAAAAAAAAAAAGTGATGTAAAACAAGAATCTCTCATCAACACAAAAGAGACCAAAGAAGCACTCCTTGCAGCAATATTTTAAATTAGATTAAAGCATTATTTCTCTAGTGTTTGGGGAACACAAAATGCCTGTCAACCAAAAAGGAACAAGACAAGAGGTTATGTGCCATGTTGTACTCTATAATGAAATCAGGAATGGATATTACTGTCAGATAAAAGGGGGTGAGGGGAGAACATGCAAAAATATCTCTCAAATGGTGTAATGTTTTATACGCCTCTTAACAGCTCATTTGAGAATCCTCCTGTTACTTCCCAGCACACTACCACTGTGCTATTTAGCAGCATTTTAGGCTTGTGCGGACAAGGTGTTTATGTGGAAAAAATTTATTACCAAGTAGACCACTAGCAATTTCCATAGAAGAAAGAGTTAATTTTATCTGAGTGTAATTAGATTCAGGTTCTCTTTTCTACCTCTTCCAGAATGGACAATAGTAAAAATGCTAAAGATCTATGTTAACATTGTAAATGTGAACTGAAGTGGTATGGCAAGTTCTGTTATGTATCTGATGCTCCTGACTTGCTTCTAGTATGGAATATCAATCATATCTGTAGGGGTAAGGTTATCAAATCATGTATTTTTTTCCCCCAATGTAGGATTATGAGGGATGTTAGCAGACGTCCCAACTCCCCAGAAGTCAAAACGGCACTCAAATCCTTTGCAAGTGATTGCTGCTATATAAAAATAGCAGTTCTTCAGAACACCACAACCAGATCTGGCTTTCTAGTGCCATAAAATAAACTAAGAATTTCCTATTTCTTTAGGACACATAGAAGGCCTGAAGACTTTATTTTCCTTTTGACATAGCATCTGTAATACAAGCGAGCATGTTAGGTACTCACATAACAAACAGCTTTACACCTGGACATTTCATGATACAGAAGACATTGTTCCAGAAACTAAGGAAAAAATGGAAAAGTGTTAATCCAGACGTTTGGTAACATGATGCTTCTTATAATAGAGGCTGGCACTTGGTAAAACTCAGCATTTTCAAAACTTGTAAAACTAAACCTCAAGTAAGCAATGACTGAGAGCAGGAAGTTACCCAGTCAAGGCTTACAGAACAGATTTCATCAATTACCTTGTCACAAACTGAAGTTACTCGCGCTTACACAGCTCTCATCACTGACAAGAACAAGCGTCTTTGAGCAATATCAGAAGAAATCTATTTCTACATTTTATTCTATGTATTGAAACTCTGGTGCTTGCTTCAAGGTGGGGTAAATTAAACCATTGTTCAAAACCACAGACCAATCCAATATAAATCAGTAACAGATATACATGCTGTAAGTTTGGTTTTGTTATTTTTTTTTTTAAAAACAAACTCCACACTTCTTGAGTAACAGTAAGGTATGTTAAAATAACCAGTCAGACTTCATTCAAATGAATTAGACAACTTTTACTAAATGAAAAAAACCTACATTTAAAATATGCATTTAAAACAAAATGGAATTAGAAAAGACTTAAATCCATTTTAAAGAACTTGCTCACTGTGTCAGAAATCAATATATCTCTTGCATTATATAATGTGCCAGTTCATAAAACGTAAGTTACCAGAATCCTCAATTTAACATTTTCAAAGACAATACTGAAGTCAAGAGTTTTACATCTACTGATGCACATTTAGAATGGTATAAATCTGAAGCCTTCCCCCGAAGAATCTTACAAATTTGACAATATTCAATAAAAGCTTTTGTAGTTATATCCAATAAGTATTGCATCCTAAAGCAAATCTGTGCCTTTCATTTATCCTACTATAAGTTTTGTATCTTCTCTGTATCTTGCCATTTGCCAATGTTAACTCTTTTAAGAAAGGAGAGAACTTAAAAGAAATACTGCATAACTCTCGATCATGTACAGAAATTATTGCTACTATAGTACACTACAAAGCAGAATTCTATACAATAGTATATGAAATTTGATCATGAAAATCCAAAGGATATAATCTTTAGTGACATAAGCCTTATAATCATGTTGGACATTCACATAGCAGTTTCAGCTCACCACTCGTCAGCTAGCCTATCGTCCATTGATGAACATCCATTTAAACACACCCTCTCATGAAAAAGAATGTCAGCTTTCAAAGGCTTAGCAAATAAGGATCTTCATGTTCTGTGGAACTATGTAAGATGAACTTTGATGCAGGTAGGGAGTTACCTGGAAGCTAAGCATGCCAAAGGTGTTTCATGCTAATAAAACTAAAGCCAAGGTACCACATAATCAAGTTACCAACTAATAGGCAATACCATTTTTGTCCTACCTAAGTTAAATGAAGTGCCATAGCACAGTGTAACGTCAATAATTTAAAACAGTGTAGTGCACAAATTCATTGTGTGGCAGTTTACATTAAAAAAGTCAGGACAGGTTTTTCTGTCTCAATTTATGTTGGCTGTCAAGCTGTCCAGTCTGGGCATTTTGGACTTAGTTTGCCTTTTAATCACTACCGTACTATCAACTTTGCATTAGAATAGGGCACACATTTGGGCGGCATTATTATGAACAACAGGGGGCTAGGGGGAGGATAAGATATCAATAGCTGTTCTAAAAAGCCCCTTCCTTATTTCAATTTCAAAGAGAGCCGGGGAAATAAGACTAGATACCATATTTGCATCATTCTAGCTACAAAATAACCAAAGTAAAAGCAATCAAGCAACAATAAGACCACATTACACAAATGGAACATCATGCTCTCATCTGGTTTAACTATTACATCAAGTTTTAACTGGGATGTTGGTCAACTTTAAAAACCGTGGTAAATGTGAATATGTAGTTGCAATAGGTTTTTCCTAATACTTTTTTTAGTCTATGCTGGATATTAGAACTTGGAGCTATACTTGTTACAATACAGTGTCGCACATCTTTCTACTAGAAAAAATTAATAAAGATCCTTTACCCGTCTCTTTAAGTTAAACGTGTGACATCATAAAGGGTGTCAAATGACTGGATGGTTTTACAGTGCACACTTATTATATACTGTAATATGGAGTTTTGTCCTTGACAGATCTGATGGTGTTTCTACATTATTCCTTTCTTCACCTCTTCTTCGGTGGATTAGCTGTGCGAGGTGGAGTGACTGGACGCCCAGAATTCAGTCCACCATACTGGTACTTGGCTTTCTTTTCAGATGGTTTCAATATCTTAGAGAAAATAAAGAAGTTCTTTTGAGTCAGTGACAGCTGAGAACATTTCAAATATTGTTAAGCCAACATGAAATCTCATTCAGTAACAAGAGGGGTGAGGGTGTGTGGGGGGAAAATCGCATCAAAATCCTACGCTTTCCTTAATCCTACATACAACAGTAATACTACTCCTAAATCTTCTAGTTTGACCACTGCATTGGGATGGGAAGGGGAAAAGGGGCTGAAAACATGTCCAAGAAGGAGTAAGGATTAAAATCTGATCAGAATAACCACACTAAAAGGGTCTCAATAGTCCATTAGGCTGCATAACTAGGTACTCTGATCGCTAGGTATAACTGAAAAAGAATCACCCAATTAAACTTTGAAATGAGCATCTGAATAGCGGGAATAACTTAATATGCAGGAGTTTGGAAAACAGCAAATCCCACACAGTTCTCTGAAGAACAGTTGGTTTGCAGTTCTAATTGTCGACAGACACCAGCCTGTTGTGCAGTCCTTTCTGTAGCTCAGGTGTATTACCCTAGACTAACCATAAGCACATCAACAAGCAGACTAACTCAGTCCCTACAGCCGAACACCTAAAGGAATACTTAATGTACAAATACGTCATACCTGAAAGGAACACATCAGAGTTTCATCCACACTCATCATGCCCCCTGCATTGTCAAACTCTCCACAATAATTTGGAGCTGAGAACAGGGTGACCAACTGCCGTTTAGCAAAGAATTCATATCCATCTTCAACCACCTGTCAACACCAGAGAAATCAATACAGCTCACGTGATTTTTTTTTTTTTTTTTAAGAAAAAAGCCAGTCTTGAGGCAAACAGGACTTACATTAAAGAGATGACAAGAACTCATCAAAAAGGTATTTTATGTCTTGGCTTTCAGACAGGACAGATTCAGTCATTTTGTCTTATCTGGACACTGAATGCCAAATCAGGTAGCTTAACCTGTCTGACACTTCCAATGTTAAATATGCATCAGCTTGACTGCTCAATATTTTCATACTTGAAGTCAAATTATGCACTGTCAATTTAAGGATTCCCAGCATTTTATGGTTTATACACAGAATTTGGATGTTTGACCTATTAGTTCAGAGCACATAAGGTTTAGATACCATCTTCATTGCAACTATAACCGTTAAGTTTCATTTACACTAGTGTTGATCACACAAGCCCAATCAGCAATTAAGAAGTCTTAGTATCCATTCCACACACTGACTGATCTTCTCTGCTGTTTTAGCAGTAAAATTGCAAGGAGAAATATTTAAGTGTTTTGACAGTATACCCAAGCCTAATAATGACACAGAATAAAAAGCCTATTTTTGTTTCACAGCAGGAAGGAGCTTTTAAAATTGACTAAATAACAAAACTGAAATGTTATACAGGAAATTGAAACCTGATGTCCACCTAACTAGGACACTTGCTTAAACTAACTTAATAAAAACTGCAAAAAAGTGCACTTGAAGATCAACAATGCAAAAATAACCTTGCTTTCTTTCTGCACATTTCAGTAAGTCAAACAATGTAAGCCAAATTACTCTAGATAGGTGAACCAAAATGAAGGCAATGGTGAAAGCTTTTGTTTGTAGAAACATTCAAAATGCGTGTAGCACTTCCATGAAGTGAAGCCTCATAGTTTAAGCCACAACTACCAGAGAACTGACTACTGCTGAAATGGAAGAACTCTGAAACTTCAGTGTAAATCTCGAATTCAAGTGACTTTGCCTCTTTGAACCTGGACACTTTACCTCTAATGTTCATATACAACAGTCTAACAGTAAACAGACAATACAAAAGAAAGATCAATGAGGAAATCTAGTGTTAGTATTTTACTTCACTGACATTAGACACTTGGTTCAATATGAGTCAATAGAAGGACCCAGCCTTATAGGCCCTTTATTAGGAAGATCTTTTTTTCTAAAAGTAACACAATGCAAAGTAAGTTTCAAATATATCCTACTGATAAGCAGCACCAAAGAGGCAGAAAGTCTAGAAGGAGAGGTTTTAAGAAGCAACAGCAGCATAATTCATACCTGGTGAGCTCGACAGATCAAATCCAGATCGTGACGATTCAGAAATTTACTGACCACATCAGCACCAAAAGTGAAAGAGACCCCGCGATCATTTTCACCCCAACCTTGCACATCTTTGTCTGGGTCAGACCACAGCAGGTCACACAGCAAGCCTTTGAAAGACAATACAAGTGAAGATGCTAGTCTTAGGAGGTATCATTCTATAATGTGATATAGTTTTATTCTAATTACCAGAGCAACTCTCCTAAAGAAAATAAGCCCTAGCAACAAATATAGTAATACTTAAACTGTGACTCAGACAAAAGATATGGTCTGCAAGATTTTTTCCCCCCCTCACCACTGATAGCACCTTGAGATGAAACAAGTCAGAGCCAAACAGTTCTCTGAAATAATATTTAATTGTAATATTCAGCATGTTCACAGTGAGCATTTGAGGAGTTTAAAAATACTGAAGTGGGTGCATTTCAAAAGGCAACCACCAATTTCACAGCTCACCAAGTAAGCTTAGTTTGAAAGCTGCAGTAAATTTTAAAATCCTATGCAAGGCCAGTCATAAATACAGCAAATAAACTTGTACCACAACCTTTTGAATATGAAACAGCGTTGATCCTTACCTTTCTTACCATATGTGAACAACCTTACGTGACTAAATCAAAATTTAACACAGCAAAATTCTGATATATTGTTTCAGGTAGCACTTTCAATTTGCTTGGACTACTGTTGACTTTTCAAAAAGCCTTGTGCCAACCAGTCTGGAATCTAAATTAGAACCATAAACCTCTCTGGCGTTTCAGCACTAGTCAAGATCTTTTGTCTGCTGCCAACAAAAGGTCAGGTAACTCTGGAGTTAAAACTGGGTAGTAAAAAAATTTCTCTAGATCAACTGCAATGCCCTTATACATAGAACTTGCAAAGCATTTTCACATGAGAGAACCAGACCAATTCAACTACAACACAAACAAAACAAAAAGCATTCAAAATGTACTTCATAGTTTTCCATGAAATTGCACTTGCTTTACCTGTGATGACTAACCCTTAGGCATTTAAATACTTAGGAGCATTGTTTCACAATCTGAAAGAGATGCCAGCAGTCTCCTTTATCTGGCACTCAGAATGTTTACAATTACATCTGGTTATTTGCTAAACAAAATATTGAAGACACTATTTCTTAAATAACAGATCCTTCAAGTTGTAATCAAGCAAAACTAATGTCTGAAACCTATTGTGCAATAGATAATTTTGTATTTACATACAGCCATCAAATGGTCTTTGGTGTCAGTCACAGTTCCTCTCTAGCAGAGGCTAAGATTTTATTTGCTTTTAGAGGACAACAGAGCAAGTAAAACTGCATTTTAGATTAAAAAAAAAAAAATCTATCTAGGAATAAACTACTGCATACAGACAGCATATGACAAAAAAGAAATTTAGCTCTATACTGAGTAACATGTTTTTCGAAACAGAATAGCTGCACTGCAATCCCTACTGGTTTCTTACCGTAAATTTACAACAAGTGACAGAAGCTGCTTAGGAAGCGCTTCCTCTTCTAGTTTCTTTCCAAAATCAAATAATCTTTAGGGTTATACACAGCAATAGGCAAATCTGTCCTATCACCTTTAGGAGTGGTGTAACAGAACCCTGCAACGAGTTTGTCTAAAATAAACTATGCTGCCCAAGTAGGTTTGTATTTTAACGTACAACATCTACCACTGCAATAGCTTAGGTTGACCAGGAGCATACCATAATATAGCTGACACGAGGCATTCAAGATTACACAAAAGGGGGAGTTACATTTTCCTAATAAGCTTATACCTTGGCCTCACAAAATGCAAATACTTTAACAGTTACTACAGGCAAGTGATTTAAGTTGGAATACAGCGTCAGATTTGAGCTAACAGCTTCCAAACCCCATAAAAATGCCACCAAAATAAGAGGTCTTTAAATTGCAGTTGGGGTTGAAAAGGCTTCTTTTCATCAGGTGAGAAGAAACCATCATAATGATCTAATCTCAGCACAAGCCACACAAACATCTACCAAGAATTTCTGTAGCAACACAAATATTTACCAAGTGACATCCCTCCACAAAGGGGTAGCTTTTAAGGACTCATAACTTTCACAGAAGTAAGACCCCTTCAGTTTATTTTTCATTTTTCCACAAAATTTACTTCCATTCTGTAATATCAGCTCCCTTAAGTAGGTCCAAAAGGCCAAGACCTTCTATGTCACTGTACCATACGCACACATGCCTCTGATGGGACACTGCATTTTACCTCTGCTGGTAAATATCCGGATATTGCTTCTGAAAGCAAAATTAAGACTGCAAACCACTCCATAGATCAAAAGCCTTTTTTTTTTTTTTTTTTAAAATCTCTATACTTATTTTTAATTCCTGAAGTGGGGGTGGCTCAAGCAGTAGTATTAGCTTGTTGAATAGAACTACCTTTTCTGAGAGCTCTGATAAATGTAAAGATTGACTCTTTGTACTGAGGTCTATTTGGTTATGCATTGAGTGAATTGTAAGTAGCACAAAAGGAAGAACAATGTAGTAATTTATACTACATTCATTTACCAGTCTAGTAATGCTTCTCATTATCAAGTGTGTATATACCAGCTTGCACAGAAATGTTGTTCTTTAAGGGACAATAGACATATTAGTATTAGTCCCTGAATTACTCCTATGCATCATCACTAAGGAACATTACAGGAAGTAGAATTTTTCTATTCCACAGTTTAACCGTAATTGTAATTTGTGTTTCAAAATAAGGTTTAGATGTGATACCTCGTCTGAAAGTTAATTTCAGACCACTGTTGAGATCAACACTTTAAAAAAATAGCTCATTGTACTGCTTGACAGTCTTTTCAATCCACTAGTAACAAAATTTGGAATAAACAGGACACTGAGGAAGATGATTGATTAAACCATTCAAAAGAATATTGTACAGAAAGCACTGGCAATTTGCATCCAATACCTACATACAAAGTATTAATTATTAGAAGAAGAAAATTTCAGGACTAGCACATTGATACAAGCAATTGAAATCCCAATTGCAGGGAATTAGGAGCTATACTTCACAAATTTAAACAGGAAGGAGACATGGCCCCAAGTAGGGAGAAGCCCATATACTTTAAATAATACTCAAAGCTTCAAACAATTAATGGTTTTTGACAGACTAAAAGGTTTGGGTGTGCCTAACCAAGGCAAGGAAAAGAACTAGCTGTTTAGTTTCACTTGATCTTTCACTAGATTTCTAAGTTTGTTTTAAGGCAAACTTGTGGATAATGTATCCAAACTTGTGTAATGTATCCTACTCTGTTATGACCAGCAATAACAATGTGGGCAATAGCCTCTAAGGTGTCATATAACTTCGCCATCATGAGGAACAAGACTCATGCCCTGCACAGATATCAAGGGATACTGTACTGTGAACAAGGGTTGTGTTACGTCACTGCATTGCCTGTACAGAAATTGATTAAATCTGTTTCATCATTAAGACCTATTTACAGTAAATTCCATGTCACTCACCTGTGTCAGGAACATCTGTAGGTCTCATAATTCTCCGGATCTGCTCCATTGACTGGAGATCTGGAGACAGTCCTGTAAGTACAAGAAAACAAGTGACTTATCTACATATTTTACCTGTAAAAAGGGTTCCAGAGAACACACAATTAAAGATGCAAAGTCATACAGCACCCATTGTTTCCACTGTCATATAAACAAGACAGTTTGCTATAAGACAATTAAGTTCCTGAACAGAAGGACAGAGAATAACACACATGAAATTAGCAAGTGGCTTTGTTTTCCTACCATCCTTTTAGCCACACAGCACAGAACCCTACAGTTAAGTATGTTCTCTTAAACAGCTTAGAGAGAACCAGTGAAGGATAGCATTCCCATTATCTAACACAATTAAATTGGATGCAGATGGCTTTCTTTACAACCACCTTACTTTATAAAAGCTAAAGGAAAATCCCCTACCCAGCTTTAAAAGACCACAAGCCAAAGCGGCCTGCAGGTATGACTGGAATCATAAGTCACATCACTGCATTTCAGTGTTTTACCACACATCAGCTAAGCAGCAGTCAGTGGATGCTGTAAACAAATACTAGACAGTGCAACAGCAATAGACAGGGAGCACAGAGGTGGTCATCTACTCCAGCTCAGCTGCTTTGTCATTTATAAAACCATAGTACCTTGATTACTCCAAAAAATCATTTATCAAAAAGACACGGCTCTTTTTGTATAGTTTTGCCATATTAACATGTAATTACAGCCAAAGCATGGGATTCCAAAACCACCCTTTGAATGGTTTAAGTACACACTCTAGAGCTTTTCTACTTGAGGCATACAGGCATGAAAGAGAGCCTACTAGATGCTCTAGCATCTTCACATGTCCTTAAATAAGGGTCCTAAAGTGACTTAAATGACTTAGGCCAAGATTACCTAATTAAGAAAGTTGCAAATTTGGAAACAGAGCATGAAGACCTAATTTGTGATGAAACATATTTCGTATTAGCAAGCCATAGCCATTTGATTCAGTCCAGAACTTTGAACATGACAGAGGAAAACCTGTCATTGGATAGGAGTCACTGCATAAAATAATTTCAGCTGACAGAGTTTGCACAGTGCAACACACATGTTATAGGAACAATGACTCCAATGCATCTGATATAAAGACTTCAGGAACTTTTCTTCAAGTATTAAGATTTTAGATTATTTTTGTTGAAGCAGTCTTATGACAAAAGCCTTCTATCCTCATCAGCTTGTTAAAGCTGTCTTCAGGATATTACCTTGAGGTTGTGAAGGATGGCAGAAATCTTACATTAAATAGCACATCAAATGAGTTTTCTAGTCAATTCTACTTACACGACAATACAGGGAAACTAATATAAATTCCAGTAGATAATCAGCTTTTAAACTTTGACCAATCTACCTCTACCTCTTCCCCTTCCCCCGAACTGATCTATTTGCATGCAGATTACGTTAGCACAAAGGCATGTGGATTCTAATCTGATTCTGCTCAGCACCACACCCCGAGAGAGTAATGGACAACCTCAGTGAAATAAGCACAACCAGTTTGTGACCTTCTATGAGGTTAGAGCTCTCACCATTTCAGGTTGCACCCAAAACATGAAGTTCTTTAAAAGTAGATATGTTATTACAAACCACGTCTCAACCCTATAGTTTTTAATTTTTGTGCTATTTTACACCACTGTAAAATGGCAAAACCCCACAAAACTACCTGCATGTTTATAAACCTCTCTGTAACCACCCAAGAGGCCTTCTTTTCCCAAATATCTTCCTAACTCCCCCTGCTCAAAAAGAAATAGCTAATGTCTCAAATTCAGATCTACAGACAAAAGTTGTACATGACCAGCGTTAAATGAAGGAAATAAGAATGCAAACACAGGCTACTAAAGCTCACTGTCAAGCTGCTGCCACTACAGCAATTGCTGCAACTTACTGTGTACTCAAAGAAAACTGAAAAGTACACTATTGAATTAAGTTTTCTTGTCACATAATGACAGGTGAGCACAGAAAAACTATCTTTCAGTATACTAGCTTCTTGAAGTGTAAGAGCACCCTTCCCTAAGGGAAAACAGAAAATGAATTGTCATTACTCCTGGCAAACTCATCAAATCCAGGCTCTAGATTTGAGCCACTCCCTGATCAGGTGGAATTGATACAGTAAGAGTGATGATTACTTATTTTTATAGTGTAATCCAGGAAGCTCCTCAGGTCTCTTTGGAGTCTATGTAAGATTATCAAGTAGACTTCACCTTCAACATACATTTCACTGTCATTAATGTCACAAGAAAAACAGAATTCCAGAGCTTGATAATATTATGTAAATCCAGTATTCTACTAAACTAACATGACTCCCATCTCAGAGCTTAAATCCAATGTGATAAGACCAATGTGCTCCATCAACATGACACTACAACGTGGACTTAATTTATAGAAACTTGAAAGTCATCACATAAGGTCTCTGAAGATTAGAACTAGAGAGTGGTGTCATAGATAAGAGGACAATACTGTACAGAACAGAAAGCAGAGCAAGAGGGAGAAGTCAGGAACAGTTATGGAATAAGCTTTAATGAAGCAAGATAAAGAGCAACGTCAGAAGTAACTCGAGAGGACAGCCTTAAGAAAAGGCCAAAATGTGACTGGTATGAGCAACGTGGAAAGACAGGGAAGAGAGAGAGAGGTGATGGGAAGGATACATTAAAGATCCTGTCAGCAGCATGAACATTTGGAGACAGTAATGGCAAGAGAGGTTTGATTTATATTGTGAGATAGATAACTCAAACAGCAGATGCCCAGAAAAGTCTAGGTAAAAAAGCTGACTCAGGATTTTAAGCTATTGTAGATAGCCTACTGGGGTAAGTTAGGTGCCTTTTGTTTTACTATGTTATGCGGTTTTGCAAAGTTTTATTATATATCCCAGAGGACAATATTTTTAAAATAAACTATGCAAAAATGCGCAATATAGTAAAAAAGGCACCTACCTTATATCTACATGCTAGCTTCAACCTCCAGCAGAGTTGAATAGTTTGTGTTGTTGCCTCAGTGTTTATTATAGTAGTAACATCATGAAAAGGCGTTGACAGTCCATGACTTCATGGGATCTGGAATGCAGTTTGGATAGGATTGGAGAAGAGCTGAAAAAGGGCAAAACTTATTTATGTGCTGAATGTCCACTTCCATTTATTCGGAGCACACAGCACGTTTAGTAATCTTTTCACTTTATTTCACAGCCGCAGATCAGTTGAGTGATAGTAATTTCAGTTACAGATGAAGCCTGTACAAGTTTAAGGGACAATTAGCACTCAATAAAGAAGTAAATATTGCTTTTCATAAGAGGATCCTTAAAGCATACTATGCACAAAATAAAAAGTTTTCCTACTTGATTAAACAAGAGGTTAATCTCCTTAATACATTTATAATAAAGCTTTGATTTTTTTTCCTTGAAAAATAGCTTTCTAGGCTTCTTGCTCATAACTCAGGTCTCAAGTATATATACACGCAAAACTATCAGTTTTGTCACAGAACACAGCATTCTACTCTACCTGCTAAGCCTCCTTGATTACCTTCTATGACCCACCTAAGCTTAATTGTTTGCCTGAAACACCACTGTATTTTGTCACTATTCATTCTCTACTGTTTCCCAAATAAAAAAAAAAAAATCAAAAAAGTATAATGATAGTAAAAGAATAATTCCTTCGCCAGCTTTTTTGGAAACAAATTTATTACATGGTTTTAGCCGCTGATAATTAGCTACCTCAGTGCAAAAGTGATGTTGTATCTCACATTCTTAAAATTATGAGATCTAGCTCATAAAATAGGTACCAGTCCTTAAAAAAGAGAAAAAAGACACCACACCACACTGATTGAGAATGAGATGAAAAGATGACCTGTGAGAAAACAAGTACTTTCTCTAGCATGTCAATGCTACCTGGAAACTGGCAGACTCAACTGTCTATCACTGCATTAATTCTGTATTTACAGAGACATGACAATACCTCAGAGCATATTACGTATAAGACTGACAGCTTATACTAGCAGGCACTGAAGTCAGAAGCTTTCAATACAAGATACAAGAAGAGCTGGGATCATTTTTACAGCACATTCCATAAGACAGAGCTCTTGCAGAGATGCCTGTAATTAATAAAGGCAGGATGACAGCCATCAATACAACCTCACAGAGTCTGGAAGAGTCTGCTCAGGAATTTTGGGTGTATGCTATTTCTAATTCCAAATGGAACTGTTCAGTCAAACTAGAGGTTTCTGCAGTGCTCTCGCTTCCACTAATCTCTAATTATCTCACTGACAATGCAGGTGTGACACCTACCAGATCATCTCTGTATCACTCAGTGCAAGGCATCAAGTTGCTTACTAACTGATGTAGTTGCAAAGACAGCTGCAAAAAGGCAGGATAGCTCTTATTACAAGTAATTTGACATTGTTGTCAATTGTGTGACTCTGCAAGGTCCCAAAAACCTGTAAGCATCATTGCCTGTAAAAACATGGGGAGTCCCCTTCTACAAAGAAGAGCACCCAAGTAAGTTCCAATATTCAGAGAAGTCACAAGCCTCGGTCAGATCAACACCAAACACTTTTTTGTCTACAAGAACAGGGCAGCACTGGGACAGGCACTCACCCATAGAACATAGATCTTCCAATAGCAAAGGTTTTATGGAGTCAGAGCAAGCCATGGCTGACCTGCTCTAATGTTAACAAATGTCTTACTTCAAGCAGCAGGCTTGACTATGTGACCTCAGAGGTCCCTTCCACCAACATCTTATGAAACCAGCTAAAGAGGCCAAGACTACAGAGCTGAGGTTACTTGTCAACTTGTCATTCTTTCACTTCACTGCTAGGGATGCCAACGTTAGCTAAGGCTGCACTGATAGATGGTAACAGCAAGAAGCTACGTGGCAAATTAGGCAAGAATTCTAGCATTCAGGATCCCTCAGAGAGGGACATACTGATGGGAATACTTATAGATGCGCTTGCCCCTCAGGCACAGAGGACCATGTGTATCAGGTAAGAATGACATCTGTCTGCTGTCAGGTGCACAGAAAAGCACAAGGCATAACAGCGACCTTTACAGATAATATAAGGTTAAATGTCTCCAGCTAAATATCAGGTATGCACACTCACACTCCATTTGGTATAGCATTAACACAAAGATCAGTTTAGACACAACCTTTAAAGGCAGTCATCAGCTTACCTCCATGACAGCAGAAGATCTTCTCATCCACAATGGCTGCAATAGGCAGACAGTTAAAACAGTCTGTGAAGGTCTTCCACAGCTTAATGTTAAATCTCCGCTTGCCTACAAGAACAACGTGCAACATTAGAAAGAGAAGGCTGTTTTCTTCAAGCCAACCTGCAATACATATCACAACCTGACCAAAAACGTTAGCAAACTATCTTCACAGGGCTTTATTTCTGTTAGTGTACTTAGGTTTCCATCTCCTGCAACAGCATTTCAAGGACAGCAGAAGAGCAAATAATAAATCTCTAGAGTGACTTTAAGCTTGGTTTGAAATGTACTTTTAGAAAGTTTCAAAGCAGGTTCACAGAATAATGAAATCCTTGCAGTACAAGAGTCACTACTAGAAGTGTCTCCAAAACACAGTATTAGTCTATAACAGTCTTTCAAAATAAATAGGTTTTGCTTACATTCATCATAGAATCCATAGATCCGATTGATGCTAGCACACTCATGATTTCCTCTTAAGAGAAAGAAGTTTTCCGGGTACTTGATTTTATATGCCAGTAATAGGCAAATTGTTTCCAGAGACTGTTTGCCTCTGTCTACATAATCTCCAAGGAAAAGATAATTAGCTTCCGGTGGGAATCCTCCATATTCAAATAATCGAAGCAAGTCTGTATACTGACCATGAATATCACCTGAATAAGAAAATGTTTACCAAGGATTAGTGCAACAACATAAAGAGTACACAAATCAAGAACTTAAGTCAGCTAATCACTTTTTATTAACTGATCTTAAAAAAAAAAAACATTAATTTTAAAACTTTAAAAACAGACTGGCAATAGGTAGCAGAAAGGTGAGAACCATGTTAATATTACAAACTGAAGTACTCACTAAATGTAAATAACCCATGGTACTTGCAGAACTGCTATGTCAGTCATGAAAACAATCTGAAAATCAAAAGCTACAGAAGTCTCTACAACTAAGCTTAAGCTTTCTAACCAAGCTCTAACTTGTTAAAATTAAAACAAGGTCAGAAAGACAAAATCTAATTGAGCAGTTACATGGCCAGGAAGCTGATGTATTAAGAAAAAGTTAAGACGCATTATTTACTGCAAAACAGATCAGTAAAGAATCTATCTAGACTGGAGAGAAACTGAACATTGTACCGGCAGAGAGCACTTACTTCAAAGGTCAACTACTTGTCCTCCCGTAACATTGCCGTACCAAGATTCCTATCCCCCAGCATTTAGGATAACTCCTCCTTTGATGCAATTATTCATACAAAAGCAGTACAGAGACTCAAAGACTGATATCCCTTACAAGATATTCAACCCTGCAGGTATATCTTAGGAAAAATAACTGTCATGTTACTCATGACACTGCCAGCTTTAAAATTAAGCAGGCTTTCCATGAAACAGCTCTGTGTGGCAATTACAACACCACAGCGTACCATATCAGACTAGCCAAGGCTAACTATCTGTGAGCGGCCCACAAGGTCAAAGAAGATACCAAAGCTGCTCTACAGTAACTTGTAGAATACATGTGATGTATTCCAGCTGACTGTAGAAGTCATTACCAAAGTGACTGAATGTAAAAAAGCTATGCAAGAAGCCTTCAGTACACGCTGTATGCTGTTTAAATTTAGTGCCTCCTGGTCCTTTACACTAAGCATTCCATAAATGCATTTTCACTTCTGCTGCTTGCTCAGTGGCAAAATCCTGACTTTGTTTAGCACAGCTATTCTCCAGTGGAGTGCTAGCTACTACGGCCTTAAAAAAGCAAAAAACCGAACACACAGACACACACACACACAGACACACACACACAGACACACCCGTTCTGCTGTCTTTCCAAAATCTTAAAAAAAGGTTCCCAAACCTGTATGCTCTCCATTTCAATTCTTAAAGCATACAGCGGTAAGAAGAGTACATGGTTGTATTCCTCTTTACCCTTTCCATGAGAAATGCAATACTTCCTCTTTAGGCTGCATTCTTCTGTAACTATTTCTCACTCAGGGAGAGGAATCGCTTCCCAATTTTCTTCTAATAACGGGGAACATTATCCACTACCCAATTCCAGACATAGCCTGAATTTTCACTGGCTAAAATAATTTTCACATATGTTGCAACAAGAACGATTCCTATTCTACTTGGTACTTGGAAATCTCCAGGTCACAACCAGAAGAAAACATTGAAGACTCCTCAACAAGTCATTGCTATGCCGAGTCTAGTACTCCAGAACTACACTACCAATACACTCCCCAGACTTCACCACCACCAGAATTAACTACCAAGTAAACATACTACAGAAAGATTATTATAATTGCGTTCATTGTCTAGAACTACTTTCAGTTCCACACGTGAGCCAGAGGGACCAAAGCACTTAAAGGGTAAAGGAATATTTTATAGAAAAAAATTTGTAAAGGGACCACAGCATTTACTATTCCATTCAAGGCAGCTGGCGTTTTAAAATATAGCTTCATATGGGCACAAATTGAAGTCTACCAGATACCAAGCCTTACAGCAAAAACCGCACCTATTTTAAAAAGGACGTTTACATAATAATATCTTTCATCTTACATTAAAACACAGCCATTCACGATGTAAAAGCTTATTTTGAACTGACTTGATTACAAGACAAGACAATCCTATAATGGTTCCTGAGGCATTGCCTGAACACACTAAAATAGTAGTTCAAAGCAGTACAGCTGCATATTTTGCTTTGGGTGAAAGCGATCATCTTTCTTTCACTTTTATCTAAGTGCATTTTTGACAATTGCTCTAATATTAAATTTAGATGCACCTGACACTTCCTGGTGCTATCACTCTGTTTGGAATCCAATTTAAAAATAACAAATGCTTTATTTAACTGTGCATTTGCTACCCTATTATTGTGTATCTAACAGTCCTTTCAACTGCCTCGATTGAAGCATATGAGAAACTAACTTTGAAGGAGGCTAATTATACTTTGCAGACCTTGACTTACGTACAATCTAAATATTTCATTTGAGTTTTCATTTTTTCTTTATCTAGGAATACGATGAAACCACTGTAGTCTTTTCAATGTAGCATAAACACAACGTGGTAAAGCCGGATTTTACCTTCAGCTTCATGTCATTAGGCAAGCTGAGCCGGTTTTTCCTCCCCACTCTACCAAGCAATTAGTCATTTAAAAATGACTTTGCCATTAGTGCTTTTTTTTTTCCCCCCCCTAAATTGGTAATATCCTCTCTTAATGTAAGAAATGTTGCTACATTAGGTCTGCCAGGAAGAAGGCTAGGAAGAAGCTAATCTATCTTTGAGCATGTTAGTAACAACAAATTCAAAGACTGCTTCAATTTTAATACTATGACACTTTAAGAAGCCTAATTCAAGAAATTTTATGCTTTCTAAGACTGTGTCTGCTGTTAATAACTTGAAGGATGATTACAAGCCAGTATTTACAATATTTTTGTAACTTTTTTTTAACAAGCCTGCATACCTATTAGTAACAGCGTGCTTTTGAAGAAGTCTAGCATCTTATGAAGTCTTAGAGGGGTAAAGAACACACACATTCTAGTTTTATCCATATTTGGCAGCAGTAACCCTGTTTGTTAGAACTTGCTATAAAGCTCAAGGAATTTATTACATGGTAACTAAGCCTAATTTAACAGTCTGCATCCAGTTTTATTTTTTCAATTGAAAGACTAACAATGCTTTCTTCAAGACTATTTTTGAAGTGTTCCATTTCACAACAGGTAAAGATCTTTGTTTTATTTATGCTTTGAAGAGAGCAACTACAACATTAAACATTTGCTTTTAAAGCAGCTAACTGCTTTTTGAAATAGTGATCGAAAGAGTAGCAGCTCTGTGCAAGCAGCCCCTAGGGAAGTACAAGCGACATGTTGCAAAATTTGCACTAGACAAGGGCACAAGCAGCTATTATTGCCAATAGAACTTGCTCCTAAATAGTACTGGAAGCATCAGCAATCTACCGTTAGCTGCCTTTTCTCGACTTAATCCAATCCAAGTTGAAAATTACATTTAAGATTGTGAACACCTCACTCTAATCCGTATCACCCAAGTCAAGGTCACTTGCCTATCTCAGTATCCTTCTAACCCACCTAGCATACAACTGGATTAAAACACCTACGTAAAACACATATATATGAAGTTTACATACCACAAATTTTCAGAGGTGCCTCTAGTTCCAGGAGAATAGGCTGGCTAAGAAATATTTCCCGTGATTTTATGCACAAGCCCCGAACTTCTGCTTCAGTCATCTGAACGATCTTCCCAGGACGACATCCTCGTACTGAAATGAGATGTTTAACAATTCAAGGTAACTATCACACAGATACACAGCAGTAAGTAAGGGCAGATGAGATGTATTTGAAATCTGCATTTGACAAAAAGCCAGCAGCACACTCCAACACATCTACCAATTGTGTTGGAATTACGTATTCCAACGAATTCTAAAATTAATCTCTGATACTGTGGTAACCTGTGCTTAAAGGTCTGTATGCATTCCCGTTAAATCAGGTTCTCAGAAGAGAACAATTTAAGTCTTGCTTTCGTCCACATTTGGATAAATAGCAACTTCAAAAAGTGTTTAAATTAACAATCTCATTATGCTAGAATATTCACAATAGGCAAAAAAATCTTGAGAATGGAAGTCCCAAAACCACTTTCACATTTGTACAAAATAAACTTCTTTAGGACTGTTGAGTTCAACAGGGCTAGCTAAATACAAAATAAAAACCACAGTCATGTTTACACTTTTGGCAGCTGAAATTGCCATATTAGGAACACCACACCAAAAACTACGAAAGTTTGATGAAACCTTCATTCATATATAATGGCTCTTGAATTACTGGAACCTTTACATCACAACAACGACGTTCTAATTAGAATGAAACCGAATTCCTAAACCAATAAGTCAGGTACTCAGACCTATATTTAGCACTAAGTTTTCAAAAGCATTCACATGTCATTGCACTCCAACCAACATCATCTGGCAAGTTTATCTGCAGCTGCTTCTTTCCACAAATACCTATACGATTCCTCTGTCAGAGGCTTTAATGTGTCTTTAATGAGGCAGTAAAATAGAACAAATGTGTCTGTACTTTGACTGATCCAGTTCAGTCTTCCATCTCAGCATAAACTAAACTTCAGAGTTCAAACTAATAAGCCAGAATGTATCAGTGTCTACAACAGGCGAACATCCTGGTCTGCTATCTGCTTTAGTTGGAAGCAACATTCAGCATTAAACCACAGTGGTAACTACAAGAGAAGGTGGTACGAAATTTCAGCAATTCAAATCCAAATGCTTTCAAAGTCAAACAGAATAAGACATTACTTTGTAAAAATTTTAGCTGCAACTTCAGGAAGTCTAATAAGATAGGTTTGTGAACAGAATAGCAAAAACTAGTTCTTTACACATAAAGTAAGTGCCTGGCTTGCCTGCTTCCCCTTTCTAAAACAGAAGGTTAAGTTTGCATATTTAAAAAACAAAAAACAAAAAACTTTTTCCTTTTATTTCCACTTAGGTCCTAGAAAACATACTTTAGAGAGGAGATCAGTATAATTTTCTACATTGTGCAATGGGGCAAAAAGGATACGAGGGGCAACAGTTTCTCCTAGGTTACCTAGTACTACAGTGCAAAGTGTCTGCTCCGGTTATCACTGCATAGTTCTCCCAGTGTAACTGCACATCTGACCATTCCAACACTATGCTCTGAATTTTTATTTCTTATTTTTAATAAACACCAGACACACTTGTTAAACGCAGGTTAGGAAGCAGCCACAGGAACACATGAAAAGGCAGAAATGAAGAATGGTTTTCTCAAGCAGGGAAGAGAAGATGTGAAACTAGATCCTGGGACAGCCGCTTTGAGTGCCAAAATAGCAGGAGGGCTAGTCTATCTGCAGTGAAGATACAATGGAAATACTTCACTCATTAGAATCCCACAAGAACAAGGCCGTGGCATACAGGACTTCTTTCAGTGAAACTCTGAATCAGTACCAGGTGATATTTACCATATGGTAAGTCACATTCCTTTTGCTAATTAAGTTCTCAAGTATACTTCAGAAGGCAAACAGCTTTTTAGTAACACTTTTTTGTTGTTATTCTTCACACATTAAGATGTTGGCTTACATATTAAAAGAATACAAAGGCAGACATTAGACACAACCAAGGTGACTAGAAAACAATCAATGCCTACAGGCTTCCATTTCACCACATCTCAAACATCTACTAAACATCTAACTCCCTTATAGATACATCTTCAGCCCCATGGGGATTATTAACAACAACAAAAAAATCATCTCAGGCTTGACAGCTTTACACAGGACTTGACTACCCAATTTGTGAGGTACCGAAATGCTCCAACAATCTCCACCTTTTCAGATGCTTGCATTTCAATAGATTATAATGATCCCTTTCATAGACCAGAAACTCATTTTGATAGGCGCAATAAACTGTCACTATACATAAGAAAGCTCCTGCCTGAAAGAGCAGAGTCTTAATAACACAATGGCTATCATTTTATTGAAGCAATTGTTGTATTTTAAACCCACAGCTTATAACATCAAGGTCACGTCAAAGACGCATGCAGCACAACTAGCGTTTCAGTCCCATTTTTCCCTCTACAAACTCTTTTAACCTGTTTTGATAAGCAATGAAAATCTCCTCTGTATTTAACTACTTCCATAATGTTTTGCAATACCAGAATTAAGCCATTTCATGTAGATTAAAACAAAGAATGACTTAACTGCACACTTTGTACATCCACTCTAGTTTTGGAACTCAAACCCAGGAAAGCCCATCATACACAACATTAATGTTACCAAGTAGCACTAGATCAAGCACAGACTCCAAAATTCAGACAGCAGTTCAAGAAGGGCACTCATAATACTTAAAATAACTGATCCAATCAATATTTCTTAGAACACCAGCCTTTAGCTCCCTTTGAAACTCACACGGAGGTTTAAACTTGGAACAACTGCTTTATAGGATTGAGGCTTTAAGTGCTGCTGGATTTTTGCACTAGAAGACACAGTGAACGTGCAGCTCCTGACTTCAAAATTAACTAACTGCCATAGTCAGTGCATCCAGTGTCTTGATGTTAGTGCTTTACTTTTTACAGTACAGCCTTAAATGTTGCAAGCCACCAAACAGCACAGTAAATTACTACCACACTTTGGATTCTCCAGACAAGAGAAGTCTTACAACTATGGCAAGTATGTCACTGTCAGAGGAGGAGACAACACACACCCAATGACTGCAGTTACCTCCAGCCCTTGGGAAGGGTACAGATCTGGGCCACCACACCTTTGCAAAGGCACCCCCACCCCCGCCTCCATGCAAACAGCCAGCAGCTCCACACAGCAAACATGTAAGCTCAGTTACATTTGAAGAAGTACAAAGCCTGGGGTTTCATGAGGAATAATCGTCAATAATACAGTTAAGAGAAAAGAAGCTTTCTCCCACAATCCCCGATCATCAATAAGGGTACTACATACTGAAAAAACGAGAAGCTACTGTGACCCTGGAAGCCCCAGCCCTTTACTGGATTCGCAAAGGCACTGAAAGGTTCGCCAAGCAGTCATCCGAAACAGTTGTGCCACAGCTGTGGTACAAGTACACAGGCAAGGCTAAGCACATCTTTCACCAGCTTCCACTACAACTAGAATGCTGTTCAGGTTTCCTTGACTCAGCTGAGCACTGGATGGATTGTAAACAAGAGCATCTCTCACATTTAGTTTTTCAAAAGCCAAATCCCCGAGAACACATTTAAGAGGTTATGAGAATGAGACCAAGAGTGTAAGTGATGTTTTTCAGACTCATTTACAAATTACTATAGCTAACCATTCTTAAAACATGCAAGTCATAGCTGCACACATCGTAAAATTTGTAGCGCTCAAAAAGCCTTTAACAGCATTGGGAAAACCGTCATTGTTAATGGCTGTCATTTACCCAGAGCAGAACCAGCATCTCAACATTAGACATAAATTAATTCTCTTTAATCTAAGATGCAGATGTTGTAAACAAGCTTTGGTTTACATAAAAGCCTTTGGTAGGGACAGCAATTCCTGTTGTAATACATAATCCCACGTGCACAGTGCTATGCCAGAACAAGCGTTTGCTGCAAGGAGCTTAAAGCAGAGTGACATAGCAGGGAATAAAGAGAATTAAAAGCAACTGTATGCATTGCACTGTCAGGCTATTATTTCAGCACAATAGATCCTATAGTAATCCAAAAGCTGCTCTAATCAATATTGAAATGGTCTCTGCAGCTACACAACCTTTGACAAGCAACCTTAGCAAGTCTACTAACAGCAATTAGTAATTCAAGACATGAGATGCACAGTGGCAGGGAAGAAAAACTTCAGTAAAAATTTTTTGTTTTTTAATCCCTCCAAATTCATGCCAGAGAGCAGCAGATTGTAAGGCAATACTGGAGAGGAAGAAAATAAATCACACTAAGGGAAGCGGGTCGAGAACTGGCTGTTGGAAGTTCTACGAATATGTTTAACCTATTCTGTCACACTGTTTCTGGTGTGCCTCTCACTCTAAGTAACTGAACTGCTCATTTTGTGGCATCACTAACAGAAGTTTTTTCAAGTACTAAATCAGCTGTGGCATGCATAGCTGTCCTAAGCATTTATACTGTGTTCTCCAATACCACACGTGTCCTGTTTACTGGACAAGACACTCATAGCTTTAGCATAACATTAAAACCCAGACAGGCTTCTCCTAAGTCTCATAGAAAATTGGGCCAGCATTATTGCTAAGTAGCTTCCATCTTTCCCTCCACTCTGCTTTTTTTGCAGGCATATGCATTTGCATGGCCACACAGTGAACTGCACCACTGAACTGATCTTTTCTTTCTAGCAAAGACACAACAAAACAAAAATGTAATTTAGATAGTTTCCCAAGCTGGAGAATACATCCACCGCGAACTTGGGCTCGGACTAGTGAAGGAATAAGCAGCTGGTTCTGCTTCTTTTCACAGTAGCTCCAGCCAAGCATCTTTCTGAAATTATGGCTTTTGAGATCTATTTTGCCAGAGTATATCTAAAAAAAAAACAACCCAAAACTATAACACAAGACTGCAAGCATGCAAATTTACAAATTGCACACAAGCAATTCCCACAAGCTTACACTCCCTCCCAAACCCCCCCCCCCCCCCCCCCCCTTTCTGTGGAACGTTTAATGATTGGTGATTAACGACTATGACATTTAACTATTTATTTCTTGTACTTCAAAGTACTTTGGAGTACTTGATGAATCCTGAACAGCCTCTCAATAATAGGAGCAGAATGGATTTGGAAGCCAAAGGTGGCATTACCTATGACTTGGAAAAAAAGAAACAGTTCTTACACTGATTTTGGAAACATATTCTGAAGCTCTCGCTCTCAGCATTTTTAAAATTCAAGTTATGTATTTTCATGGTTTTAAATCAGGAATCCTACATTGGATTTTAAAAGTGTCTTTCATTTTGGAAAGCAAAACTACTCCCTCAAAATATTTTCTGTTATTTAAATCGTTCTGCTGTCATCCAGAAGCAGCCACTCCCTATCTTGCAGCAAAACACTGAGAGCTAAGCCAGGAGCACAAGTTTTCAAAGTTTCAGAATTGCTGTAACAGAACTAACCTTAGAATGGCTTTCATTCATGCGTTACACTGGTGGACAAAAATAATACAAATGAAGCCCTGCCAGAGCCACGCTCAATTCAGTAACAGACATATTGCTGAATATACAGCTGCTCTGCATGGTGTATGCAGCAAAGTCCTGTACCTTTCCTAGGGTGCATCATCCAAACTCCCTGCTAAAAATAGAAGAATCAGCCTTCTAGGGAGTTTTTTCCTTAAGAACTGTGCTTTTATATCCAAGTACTCTTAAAATCTTAAGAAATTTGCCTTCACTGGATGCCCTTGGTATTAAGTATTCTGCTGAAGAACAAAGTGATTGCCTGTGAAATCATTTTAGTAGGACTTATTTAACATCAAACAAATCCACTGCAGAGTAAGAGACTGCCCAAGCCTTTAATTTCTAACCAGGAAAATAACCAAACAATGAAGTATTCTTCTACCCAAACCTGAATTTACGTTCTTAAAAATACATATTATCCAGCAGAATTAATGCTCATGGAGAAGGTGCTTTCATTAGAAACTAGCATCTAAAGTTGCTTCAGGGGATACCCAAACAAGCCCATGAAAACACGTAAATGTCCCTACACCAACCTCCATCCATGATACATGCTTTTCCTGGCTCACCTCTTTCCTTACACCGAGGTTCCATAAACTGGCTGACAGTCTCAATCAGTCTGCATCACGCACAGTTCCAAGAACTGCCGAATTAGTTACTCCATTCTGTAAGCAAAATGTGTAACCCTAATTCATCGTTATTGGTCTGTATTTACTGTTTGCTTAATTACACTTGAACCTAACACTCATGCAACTAGCAAAGCATAAGGTAGAAGCCTCTCACTATGCTGTATTATACAAAGTGGTAGCAATTCCTGTTCTAGTCCACTTGGAAGGCTAATCTAGCATAAAAATCTCATGAAACAATTTCAGCTTCTTTCTGAAAGTTTGACTTTCTTTTCCTATAAAGCAGTGCTAATGAAATTCCTTAAATTTGAGGAAGGCAGAGGCAAATTACTGAGTTACTTCGTAACTCCTAAGAAGTACCAAGGAGAGAAGTCACTTGAGTTGTAATACAAAAAGCTAGGGTTTAACATGACTTTTGCACCTTTTCAATTTCTCAGGTATTTACCTGATATGGTTACATGGGACATACACACAAAAGGTTTGTATCAAGCTTGATAGTGAAAAAACCCACAATGGTTTCACAATGGTGCTGTGAAACTAAGATGACCTAGCCTACTAAGACAAATCATACAACAGTAAGAGAAGGCAGCAAACAGGTTAATTTCTATGTTCAAATTATCATCCAGATACATACCACACTACAGGCACTTCAGATTGTAGTTACAAGTACATTCCCCTATACACACACCCTTTGAGTACAGCATCTGACCTTACTAATAGCCAAATACAGTATGCTTGACCTCACAGTGCTAACCCATATATTGTGTTTTGTTGCCCTTTTTTTTTTTTCTTTTTTTAAAAGTTACATACCTACATTTGTAGTGGTCACTAACGAGCATTTAATTGCAACTATCAAGTATTAAAAACCCTCTTAAAATAAAAACTGATTTTTTTTTCCCTTTTATACTATGATTTAGCTGTACTCTGAGCAAGACGTTGAATGAGTCAAGTAAAAACGGTGCTGCACAATATCTAAATGAAACAGTTACTGAATCATGTAGGCTCCAAGTGGCACAATAACCTGCCAGAATAAAGCAATACCAGCATACATTGCCTGATGCTGGGCTCTTGGCCTTCAGTGCAATTTTTCAAGCCAACTATCCCATTCGTCATGCACTTATAAAGCTAAAGATGAACTGGCTGATATCTGCACTGCTGTACAAAACCAGAAACAAATGTCATTCTTCTTTCTAGCCCTTCTCCCTGTTTAATACAATACCTACCCTCCTCAAAACATATGAAAACTGCCTATTTTCTTTCTCTAAAGACTAAGAATATTTCAAAAATACATCCTTTGCAAGAAACTCCTTATTATGTTTTCCTTGTTTATTTTTCTAATAGCAGATTATCTATCCAGTGATTTCACACCAAACCAGGTAATCATCCTCGTTTATTCAAGGTTCACCTCCATGGTTTGTCTACATTGTTCTGCAACAGATCATGAAGGTCTGTTTTTTCTTCTCTACAACTGCCTCTCTTTTTCAGTATCAGTTACAGAGCCTGTGGAACTGCAAGCACTACTACTGTATCATACCACACCATCAGGCTGGCTGGCTGGCTGCTTTAATTAGTTAAGACACTAACCAAACAAGAAAGACATTATTGACCATAATACATTGGCTCAGTAGCTCTGTAGCATTTTAAACCAATAAGGAAAATCTCATTTTGTAAGCGTTTAAAATCCAAGTTCCATTTGAAAAATTGAGTAATATTCAAATTTACCACAACCTGCAAGACCTCTGAAATCAGAAACTGAAGGTTACAGCTTTCTTAGAAGACACCACATGACACGGTAAGAACACTGCACAACCAGCTTTTATTCAGGCAATCATAAAAAAATAAATCACACTTTGAGCTGAACATTGAAGCAATACCATTCTCCACATTTACTGGAAGTCTGACAACTCCGTTCTTGGAGAAGTACTTCCCAGCTTTCTTGGCGGATCAGTGCTATCAGAACTAGTAGCCCTCCTAGCCTCACCAAAAATAATTTAGTTTTAGAGCCGATCCACATTAAGTTCCATCAAATGAATTTAAGTTGTTAATTTGAAATAGGTTAGCTAGATTTAGGCAAGCAAAAAGTCTTGCCTAAGCAAGGTAAATTTATTTGTAAAGCTATATAAATAAACCCTCTTCACAGAAATCCAGCTTGTGTTTAAGGCTACTATACGTCTGGGTTTCCCCACGTACATCCTCTCTTCCATATGGTAAACTCCTTAGTGTTTACCAAGACAGACACCTATACATTTGAAAGCGCAGAAAGTCCAGTCCAGCTGGGCTGCCTTATATCCAGAAATGTTGAGAGACATTTACAACACAGAATCAGGAAGCCCAACACCCAGACAGAAATATGGCAGTCTTACTTAACAGCATCCACAGTGCTCTTTACAAGTAAGGTCACACCTATTCCAGCATCCTTGCTTTGATATCGAGGGAACTTTTCCACACATCACCAAAGTTTAAATTAGCTTAGAGCCCGGCTTTAATGTAAGCCTGGTGTATCAGTTTAGCTCAGCATTTTTGCAGATTCAGGGCATTTCCCACAGACGGATACATGGTGTGCCTAGTTGGGGCAAAATACAACATATTCCACATCTGCTGTACTCATGACAGTCTCGTGTGTGTGCATACTCCTGTGCTGTCCACAGATAGAATGGACTGGGAAAATCTATCCAGCAGATGGCATAGCTGGGAAGGTAGGAAGAAAAAAAAAACAAAAAACCCCACAACAAAAAAGTCAGCACACTGAAGCAACTATGAAGGTATCATCATCTTGTGTACCATAGTGCAACTCAGTCTGACCCGTGACTAGAATTCTGAATACCAATGCAAGAAGGAAACAGTCTTAAGACTAATTTGGCTCATTCGCGTTCATGGTCACATATCAGTCCAAGTGCTTTAGCAAAGCTAGGGAATTTTGTGTTTACATGACCTGTACATCTTTGCAGATTCACTTACAAGCAATTCCTTTATCAAATGAAATCTTATAATAAAGCTCGAAGTATCTCCAAGATCAGTCAGGCACACATCTAAGAGCACTATCATCTCCTTCACTCTTTTAGTAAAGAAACAGGAATGGGAATGTAAGTCTGGAGGTAGAATAAATAAGAGAAAGCATTGCTACATTCAGACTTTATGCATACAGCATACACTTTAGTTTTCCTTTCCTCCAAATAGAAGTTATTTACAAGGTATCACTAACTAGTAACCAAGTACTAGACACATTGCAAGAGAAAGTGAATTCAAAACAAGCTCTTACCATTCCTAAATTCACCACTTAACCAATGAATAAAGAGGATAAGAACTTGGTATATGCAAAAGAGCATGGAAATTAAAAGCTAATGTCCTAGAAGACTATCACCATGCCTTACACTGTGGTTCAGTTGAGTCTTTCTGAAAACTACCCCCAATTTAACTCAAGAGTTAATCAATCTGGCTTTCAGCACTCAAAAGATCTCTAAGTAAGTACACATTCAAGGTAAGCATGCATGCACACATGTTGACAGCTGGGAAGATGTTCTTGATGAATTCTCCCAAGCAGCTTGGCTACAGGCCACGTCATATTGGTATCTCGGAGAAAAAAAGAAAAAAAAACCAAACAAACAACAAAACCCAGCACACAGAGGGTAAGGCACTCTAAGTAGGTAATTCCAATCAAAAGGCAAGTTAATGTGTCATATAACCCAAAAGATAAGTAGTCTTGAGCAACAAGGGTAAAAACAGTTAGAGTAACCTAATTAAAGCAAGAGCGAGAACTCATGACAGCTAATATCACAGCCTAGAAACAGGTGTCACCAACCAGCAACCCAATGACAGCAGGGACGTTTCCTGTTGCTGTGGCTTTTGATACGTATTTGCTATCCTTTAAAATTTATGTGCAGCAGCCACCGAGAGACAACTGTGGACTGCTATTCAAAGTTAAAGCCATCCATTTCACTTAAAGTAACCAAAAGGACTACATATGTATTGAATGACATCATTTCATAAAAGTGTCTTTTTATTATTTCAGTGTGCATTTTTACAGCTCAAAAAGCCACGTTTCCTTATCCATTAAGTTGAAGTGTGAGTAATGGAGCCAAAAAACTTGCCTTAAACTAATTAATTGCTCCAGAGATAAGAGTCAATAGAAATTTTCCTGTGCAAGCAGCGTGGGGAGGCATTCATAGTCACTTTAACAGAACAGGTCAGCTAGGCAACAGCATGAGCTCCAAAATGTGAGCTGCCAATTGTACAAAAAAAAAAGCTTCATTGTGAAACACTACTATTCAAACCACAGCTTAAAAATATTACATGCTAGCAGTACAACAAACAAAAGATGTTAAAAGGAAGCAAAAATAATTCATACACGAAGCATTCTTTTAATAGTTTTTTCCCAAAAAAAACCCTGCAAGAATCTATTCCCTTTCAGATACA